AAATTTATTATACAATAAATGAGTGTAATAGCTAAGTGCAGAGGAACAGGTTCGATCGATTCTATTTCTCAAGTGCATTTCACAGAATTTCACAATTGATTTTCTCGAAAAAAATTCTGCCAATTATCGTTCTACTTATTCTTCGCCACGTTTCACCTTCGTACCACCATTTTCCATGCATTCTGTATAATTTCTTTGTTTTTGAAATCGTTGGAGAGGCTACGATGGACTTGGAAATAAAGGGAGAGATCTTTGCAAGCATAAATTGGTCAGAGGATCTCCCGGGGAAGTCCGCTTAATTCGACGCAGAAGCCTCGAAAAATCCTCCAAATAACGTGGAATTAGAACGTTTTCCCCCTGGACGGGGCACGTAACAATTTTCATTAATTTGGCTGGAAAGGACAGGATCCTTTTTTGAGGAAACGAGTAAATATATTCGTTCCTTCGAAGTTATCGAGTCTTAATTAAGACATCGAGTCTAAAATGAAGTGGATGGAATTATTTAAGAATGAACTTAATGCAAACGAAAAATAACATGTTTCTCTTAGTTGATAATTATAATTATTAATTATAAATGAATCTTAACAGTTTGTAACAGTTACAAATATTTTTCATTTATTAAAATTAAATTCCTTTGAATCAATAATATTTATAATATAAAATATTAAATTGATTCAAATTCAGTCTGATTTGTCCACTCCATATGTTAATTTTACCAAGATATTTCCTCGAATCATATCCTTCAATCATCGTGGAATTATCATTTTGATAAGTGTTAAAAAAAATATAAATAATTTTCATCCATTTATTCCATCCACTTTTGAAAGTTTTCAAACTTCAAACTGTTTCATAGCAAACAATAACAAAAATAACAAAAAGGAATTGAATTTCCTCGAATCATATCCTTCAATCATCCATTGTGGAATTATTATTTTGATAAGTATTAAAAAAATAGAAAGAATTTTCATCCACTTTCGAAAGTTTCCAAATTTCAGACTATTCCACAGTAAACAAATAACAAAAACGGATCGAATTTTCTTGAAGCATATCCTTCAATCATCCATCGTGAAATTATTCATTTTGATAAGTATTAAAAAAAAAGAAAACAAAAATAGAAAGAATTTTCATCCACTTTTGAAAGTTTTCAAACTTCAGACTGTTTCACAACAAACAAATAACAAAAACGAATCGGATTTCCTCGAATCATATCCTTCTATCGTGGAATTATCATTTTGATAAATGTTAAAAAAAAAATATAAATAATTTTCATCCATTTATTCCATCCACTTTTGAAAGTTTTCAAACTTCAGACTATTTCACAGCAAATAAATAACAAAAACGGATCGAATTTTCTTGAAGCATATCCTTCAACCATCCATCGTGGAATTATCATTTTGACAAGTGTTAAAAAAAAGAAAACAAAAATAGAAAGAATTTTCATCCAATTTTCAAACGTTTCCAAAATTTCAGACTATTTCACAGCGAACAAGTAACAAAAGCGGATCGAAGAAGCATTATAAAATAAAATTCGATGTAAATGAAAATAATCAGACGTGGGACACGAATTCAGCCACTTCTGGCGTAAATCCGTGATCCCGATGGACGAGGGTTCACGAGGGTTTGGCATCCGTATGGCAACACCTGCACTAAATTACTACGACTACGAAACTCCTGTTTTATCCGGCAAATGGGGCGAAGAAGGGAGAGGGATAGGGTTCGGTGGTCGGGATGTTACTACCCTCGCAACGATACGGTTGATACGAGGGTTTCGTGTGTCCCGGAAACTCTGGCCAACGAGGAACGATGTTTCCTCGTGTGGGTGTACAGGTGTGCGCGCAGTTACGTAGCTATCCCCGTATTCAGCCATGTATACACCGTTCGCGTGCGTGACGGGGGTAGTTAAGTGTGAATTGGAACGAAATCCTCCACTAAATTTCAATGTACTGATTTAAGCAGCTTGTGATACCTGTGTTAATTCGTTTCTATCGGATATCCCTGTCCGATTAATCG